TGCTTTCGCTCGTTTTCTGTTTTCATTTCCAGCCTTTGGGACAGAAAGGCGAAACGTGTTTTTCAGAGAGTCTGTCGCCTCTGTGTGCATCGAGGGGTCCACATGCCTGAGGATACTAACAGAATTGAAGCTTGAATTTTTACGTACGAGGTGCACGAAAGAGTAAGGAAATCCTCGAGGCAACGGCGATCGAACTTTAGCTCTCGAGTTTAGGACATTTTTATGGGAACTGTACTTGTTTCCAATAAACCCTCTTCTCACGTCGAACACGTTCCCTTTGTTTCGAATGAAACCAAATATACTTGCCAAACGTACATTATAAATTTCCAAAATGAACTTTCCAACGTGTCCACTTTTTCGTATATGCGGACAAATATATTTATATATATATATATATATCGTTGACATAATAGTTGATTAGAATTCAACAGAAGATGAGCCACGAGTGTTTTCACTCCTGCTTCAACGATGGATTTTTCTTTTGGAAATATACGTATCTTCGTCGCGAGGGGACGACGAGTATACTCGTCAAACACACCTTGTCGAACGGTTGGCAACGAAACGAAGGGACGAAAGAGAAAATCCTTTGTCTCTTTTTCTTTCCTTTTTCTTTTCGTTTCTCCTTTCCTCCGACCGACCAGCGTTTCAATTTCAATAAATTTTTTAAAAACGTTTGACAAATAAAATAAAACTTTGAAACGCCAATGTCAATAAATTTCAAAAGCTTGAATGAACAGCTTAACGTTGGAGCGTGCCAATTCGAAGAAAAGTTCGAAGTTCGATCGCCCGAAATTTCCCGGCTCTTTCGCGTGCGCCGACACTACTGTAATCTTGTAAATATAATGTAAATATGCATAGATGTGTATTGTGTACGGTGTACGGGGCGCTTGGTACACACATATATATTTTCTAATCAATGGTGGATGGCAGGTGCCGGCCATCTCGCTAGCTTACGAGGCACCGGAGTCGGACATTATGAAACGGCAGCCCCGCGATCCTTACAGAGACAATCTTGTCAACCGAAGGTGGGTCTCCCAACTACCCACCAGAGAAACCAATAACCATACTTAGCGAAAATCCATGCACTCATAAATACCCTGCAGCTGCAGACACGAGAACACACGAGACACATACATTACGTACAACGTAACAGAGACCATGAATATATATATATACACACGGTGGGTCGGTGGGTCAAATCTTTGCTGGTGATCGTTTCGAGAGACTTTAGACTTCCGTTTAGAGCTTCCCTCGTTCTTTTTTTTTTTCTCTCTCTTTTTTTTTCGAGAAGAATTTTGAGAAGATGTCATGGGATTTCTCAATATCGACAAAGTCAGCAATGTTCGAGATTATTGATGATTTGTGTAGTCTCTTCTCGGAGATCATCTTGCGAGATGTGTTCCTGAAATTAAACAAAGAGTCTGACATTGAACGGAATCAGTTTGAAGCCACTTTCTCGTAAACTGAACACACACATACACGCACCGATATTTGTTACAAATTGGCTTGTAAATAATTTTGTTCAACGTTCGACTCTCGAACGTCTCTGACGAGCTCGTTGTCATTGACAGTCCTCGTGTCAACCAGCAAAACTACTTCCTTCTCGTAAAATCGCTCTCAACAAACGAATATCATCGATCAGCATTTAACGATGAGTGAAATTTCCACGAGAGAAAGAGAATTCGTATTTGGCCTATCCCACGCCACCCACACTTCGAACGCGTACGTATGCGTGCACCGCGCATAGGTACGCGGCACGCACACGACCAACACATGATTGTTACACACATCATTGACAGAGTGTCTACTGAAATGTCGGAGTCGTACGTTTTGTTTTCTGAACTACAGATCTCTCTCATTGTCTCGATGGTCACTCGCTTGATCTTTATTTTGTTACTGCACGCGAACAATGATGAAGTGTTCTTTTTTTTTTTTTTTTCGTAAATATCGTATATTTATTGTGTGCACTTTCGTCTGCACCTCCGTTCAGAGGAGTCAGGAAAATCGACCGTGGATGGGGAAAAAATACAAAAACACACACACACTTGAGAAAAATTCGCACGTGTAGACACGAGCAAAGTTAAAGAAAAAAAATATATATATATATAGTTACGGTCACGGTGAAATGAAAACGCGTGCACAGTTGAAAATTCTTAGAGAAATTGATCTGGTCGAGAGATTTGTCAGAAAGTAATCGAGTAGAAAAAAAAAAAAAAAAAAAAAAAAAAAAAAGTAGAAGAAATAGAGAAAAGAGACGAAGATATCTAACAACGCGGCAGCTGGAGTGAGGGGACGAG